CAATTTAAGACTGACCTCTTTATGGAGTTGAGAAGGATTTCAAAGTGTATTTTTTGGCATTTAATAATTTTATTCTGAAAAAAATATTCTTTAAGTAAAATAAACGATTTTTATCAAATAAGATCTGTTAACGGCTATTTAACAGATCTTATCATATAAAACTCACAAAGCATAAATGACGTTAACCGATACAAAGGATATTTTAACTGAGAGGTTTAAAAAAGTAATAAGCTCTAACCAATTATGAAAATATTTTTTATTCTCATCGTTTTAAACTTTCCGTCGTCGCTTTTAACTGATTTATCAAAACGTATTTAATTTTTTGTTTCTTTCCTTAATAATTTTATCATATTATATATTAAATTAATTTTGACGATTAAATGTAAATTATGATGAATTGCGGTTTATTCTAAAGTATGTATTTTTTTAATGAGTTTACCATATTTGCTCCCCATAGTTATGAAGACACTGATATCAATACCATAATTTGTACATAGATTTGATGAAAATACTCAATAAATAAACAAATTAATAGATTACACTCCAAACATGAGTTTAATAGAAAAGCTTATCAATTAATATAGGTACTACTCTATTTCCTTGAAAATTATTTCTGTTTAGAATATTGAGAGATTGAGAGCACTCACGGGTTTTCTAGCTAGGTCACAGTTATAAATTATTTTATATTATAATTTTACTAATAAAAATATAAACCAATCTTTTAAATGTATAAGCACTATCTAGATAAATATAATATTAAGACTTAAGTAGGGCACACAAGTGCATTTTCTATTCCTGTCACTTCATGGACGAAAACTCGACAAAACCAGTGAGAGATCAGACGCAGGCCCGACGTGTTCTCTGAGGCACAAGGGTCAAACACCGGGTCCTTCCCAATTCAAGAATGTTATTAAGACTTTCTTAACAAAAATACTAAACATTGCCCTACCCAAGACTCAAACTCAGGATCCCCGGATCTACAGCCGTATATGTCAGACACTAGACCACAGAAGCATTTAAGTAGTAGTAATACAATAGAGATAGGAATAACTGAGATATTTACTTAACTCTTATAAGTCTTTGTGACAAACGTAAATAAAATGAAATGCTTCTTGTTGAAAATGAAATGTCTTCGTTTCGCGTTACGGAAGTTGATTATGGAGTTCCTGCGCATAATGCTTGAGTGTTCTAAGGAATTAAGTGGAAATAATTTTAGCGTAATGAGGTCGTGTGACAAATTGTATACCTTAGGATTAAGATGTATATATAATATACATATCTACTAATATGGACATTGGATATTCTTAACAGCCTTTTTAATGACTGTGAAAAGCTGAATGAAACATACTCAAAATAATATAATTAAAATTTGTTAAAATCATTTGTTTCACTTTAATATTTAGTGACGGCATAATTTAGGTAATGGATAGTTTTTATGGCGTGTGTGTATATTGAAATATTAGGAGTGGTATAGGAATCTATACATATAATAAAACTGTAACTAACCCGAATCTGTTAATTAAAATTTTTTTGGAAAATCTTATTGAAATAAACATTATTATCGATGCAGAGGCCGAATCTATAGTTTTTAGAATTTTTGTCTGTCTGTCTGTTTGTCTATCTGTTACCGCATCACAGAAAAACCGCTGGAGGCATTTTGATGGAATTTGGTATGGTGATAGCTAGTTATCCGGGTCAATATATAGGATTCTTTTTACCGTTTGAAAAAATACTGCAATTTAAGAGTATACTAATATGTAAAATCTAAGAATTTGGGTTTTGGTCATCTGAACGCGAGCAGAGCTGCGGGCTATGCAAGTCTAAATATAATAAAAACTTTTTGACAAAAAAATAAAAACCGATTTCAAACAAAAGCACTAAACAGTAAAAGATAACTGATTGGTAGTTTACATTTACTATACATACCTAATCAAATATTTTCGAAATCGGTGCCAGACCATAGAAAGCAAAGCACACCGACTTCGAAAATATTTGATTAGATAATAATGTATAGTAAATGAAAACTACCAATCAGTTATTTTTTACTTTTTAGGGGTTTTTTTTGAAGTTGGTTTTTATTTTTTTGTTAAAAAGTTTTTATTTTTCTTTTTAGTGTAGAAAGTAGTAGCAAAGTAGGAATTCTAACGTGTTAGGCTTGTCAAATCTAACAAAATAAGCCCAAACTCAAAGTATCTACTATTAGTCGTTGAAGAGTTCCACCTTCTGGCCTTACCATCAGATCAGGTCAACAATACCGAACCACTGTACTATCAACGGAAATAACAACATTTGCAAAGTTTCAAGTCAATATGACAATTAGAAGTAGGTTAAATTCATCATTAGCTATTTTTCCGCCCTTAGGGGTGGTATTTTTTTTGAAATTTATATGGGACTAATCTGGAAGTATACACTTTCAAAATCCGTTAATAAATGACGGAGTTCTGAGGTAACAAACATAAAAAAAATACAGCCGAATTGATAACCTCCTCCTTTTTGAGGAAGTCGGTTGATAAAATAATACAAATTCAGCACATCTTAACCTCTCAATGATGGGTACGGGCTATCTCTCAGTGCAAGGGGATCAAGCTATACTCCACGCCGGCCAAATGCGGGATTAAAGGACTTCGTATGTCTTTCGGATACTAATTAATTTCTTTCACGTAAGTTTTCTTACAATGTGGTCTTCAACCTTTTTTTTTTTTTTTAACGTTGGGAAATGCATTTACGCACGACGTGTGGGACTCACCAGCGTAATACAGCCAGTACTACCCACTAAAACCCAACAAAACCTTCCCCCGTCTTGATGGGGCGTCGCAGGATCGCTTACGCATTCAACTACGACGCCCCGACAGCAGGTCTGCCGAAGCAGACCACCACAACCATGGGGTTGCTCCAAGGTCCACTCTGCTATCAGAGAAGTACCAGGAGCAACCCGCATGGTACACCGCCCCCCGAAGAGGGCCACCTCCCACCGCCCACCGAAGTGGGCAACCTCCCTGTGCGTTTCTTAGCTTCGCGCCCGGTTGGATCGCCGGGCACTACTGAGCCCCCCCACCACGACAAGGTGAACGCACGTTGGGGGGGGGGGGGGGTTGGTCTTCAACCTAAGGCAAGTGGTAATTATATCGAAAATGATAGTTACACGAAAATCTCAAAGATACCAGATCCAGGGCTTGAATCCGCATCATATGGTTATTAGAGTGAAGAAAGTACATTACCATTGACAAAACACCTGACAAAGCTAAAGTATGTCATTTCCATTTTTTAGTTATCTAATAAACGATAGCGCTACTAATGCCATCTTTACCATTGTCTGAGCCATAGGTTTGGTTTGTTTCCTGCGCGGTCTTAATATGGACAGAAAGCTTTTAGGTGACACCTGATGCCTCTTCACACACTTCTCACAGGGAAAATAACGTAAAAAACCATGTTTAGCTGCAGCGATTTTATTTAATAAATTATAACACCTCTAGGTAAATTTCTAAGAAATTAATTAAAATTCTAAGAAATCATTTAGATTATTCACTGACACGCCGACGTGTCCGCGGTTGTGGAGGGAATAATAATAATTTTAGTATATTAGTGAGGTCACTAGGCTTTGACTTCACACGAGTGCACTTAATTTGATACTAATTTTCTTTTACTCTCTTCTTAACAAGAAATCAAGTCAAACCTAAAGATTAGAGCATATACCTAAGTAAGTAGGAAATCTACATTGTTAATAAATTTTCCATATAAATTTGTCACCCCATTTCAATCCTTTGGAGATTGATTTCCCATAAATCGGTTAAGGAATTGCGCTGTGACAACCAGGCAGGCAAACAGGGTTACCTTCACATATATGTTTAATATTAATATGAATATTAGAACCAAAATTTAAAATTATAGTATTCAAATAGTGATTATTTAATTTTCTTCGAAAATTAATCACGTCTGATAGCATTAACGTTATTTTTATATCTTACATGGACAGCTTCGGGCTTGATACATTGAAAATCGAAATTCTATGTTTTGCTGACAAAAGAAGGTTGATCCGACATCAACATGAGTACGGTATGTATTGACATATCATTTTTTACTTTCATATAACAAAATGTCAGCTTCACTATAGACCTTTATCATTGACAATAAAATGTATATAGATTTATGATAAAATGTTAAAAGTATTGTAAGCAATTTACTTTATGTTCCTATTTTTTTTGTAATACCTATTTGAGTGAAAAGTGTTTAATTTTTCCTAACATCTATATGACTTTTTGATAATCTTTTGTTTCATTTGATTTTGATCGACTTCTAAAAAAGTAGGTGAATGTACTCAGTTTGGCTGCATGTTTGCTTATATATCACGCGATATCTGCATCAATTGTAATTATATATATTATATATAATAATTGGATTATATATAATATATATAATTACATTATTAATATATAACTGTCGCGGCTAACCCCATCTAACTTGTACATAAGGCAACTGCCTATGGAACTTGAAGTAGTTGCCACCGTTGGCCGTTGTGTGGCGCTACGGTGATTTTTCCCTGTGTCTATTTTTTGTGTGTAACATCATAGACAAGTCATAGACATTAATTAGATAGTGACTAGTAGAAATTCAAATCTTTTCATTCTCTTTGTTAACTCGTAACGCTCCGAACATATTTTATATACGAACCATTGTAAAACACGAAATTAAACGTAATTCGAAATAGTCTACGTTTTATTTGAAGACCGCCGTAGTTTTGGCTGATCGTTGCTGCACCATAATTTGGTCCTTCGAGCCGGATTTACCAAGAAATTGGACTTCGTGCCGACTGGTCCTCGTCAAGGAAAATCGACGCAGCTACTTCTTCAGTCAACGGTCAGGTCTTATTTCCTTTCTACTCCTTTCCTTTAAACGTTTGAATTAAAAATCGTATCATTTACATTTCAGGCTAGTGACGTTTCTTTGCAATTCTTCATATAACCGTGAGTACCTTACATTATTCTTACACGTAGACCTCTAAGATGTCCACTGAAGATAAATTATCAGTGCTTTCGGCAGCTTCCCCCTCGGGAAAGCGACCAAAAGATATTTCTGAACTCAAAAAACAGCGAGGTAATTTAAAAGGTCGGTTAACACAATTTAAAAAATATTTAGATTTTTTGCCTTCTAATTCTATATCTCAAGTTCAAGTTAAAGAAGTTAAATTTAGAATGCAAGCAGCTCAAGATCATTTTAATACTTTTAACGACATTCAAAATCAAATTGAGCTCATTTTACCCGAGTCGGAATATACAGCGAACTTTGAGTATGTAGAATCTTTCGAATCATTATATTTTAACGTTTTAGCTACAGCTGAAAGTATAGTCGAAAATGCCGTCGAAAGTCTAAAATGTAACAGTAAATCGTCAGCGCAATCGAATGTTAAACTGCCGGACATAAAATTACCCTCCTTTGATGGTTCATTTGATCAGTGGTTAGAATATAGGAATTCGTATATTACTATGATACACAATCGTTCAGACTTAGACGAAATCCAGAAATTTCATTATTTAAAGGCTTCACTAAGCGGTTGTGCGTTACAAGTTATAAGCGCTTTAGAATTTACAGCGAGTAATTACGTGCATGCCTGGGATCTACTTCATAGTAGATTTCATAATACGCGACTTCTTATACAGAACCACTTGAAATCATTATTTTCTATCACTCCGCTTAAACAGGAATCCCACTTGCAGATTCGTAGGTTAATAGATACTACACTCAGAAACCTTCGTGCTTTAAAATCATTAAACGAACCTACTGAACACTGGGATACAATAATTATATACTTAGTTGTATCTAAGTTAGACGCATCTACTGAGCGGGAATGGGAGAATTTTAAGGGATCAATTTTAACTGATTCGAACAAACGACTAAAATTAGATGATTTATTGTCATTCTTAAGAAACAAATCGAATACTCTGGAGATGATTAGTTCTAGTCAAAATAAGTTGCCTCAATGTAAGCCTCACGTTATAAGCGAAAATAAGCATTACCAACCAAAAGGCCATGTCATAGGACATACCTACACGTCTACTCATTCTAATAAAATTAATAATTCTAAGAAGTCATTTAGTACTTTCTTAGATTTACGCGAATGTTTGACATTATTAAATAAAACTATCTTTTCGGATTATTTTAAGTTGTTACGGACAGTGATTCGACAAAATCGCCGCGATCTACGCAGAAACGACCGGGACATTGAACAGACGTCTAATATTGTTAAGACAGTATTGACACCATCTGATTTCACTTTAAATAAGCGTGAAACAACCAAATATAATCAGTGCAAAATTAAACATATTTTAAAATATCAAAAACTCGTTGAAAAATTAAACATAAAAAAGAAAAAGAAAACCATAGAGTATAACGGAACGCGCCCGTCTACCACAGATACACACTCGTGCGGACCTCAGGTTGTCAATCTGTCAAAACAAACGTTAGACGAACCTACCATTCGGGTACTAAATAAAGGTTTGAATTTTGCTGTAACGCCTACGCGCATTCCTTATGAAAACATTATTTGCGCAGTTGAAGATGCCCTGGCCCAAAATATTATGAAAACTGAGGATATGGAGGCCATACGTCAAGATGTTTCGTCTTTATTACGTCGTAGTACTAGGCCCAAACCAAATCTCAATAAACAAGAGTATTTAGCGTTGAAGAACCTACGCAATAGATCAGACATCACCGTTCTACGCGCAGACAAAGGAAATGCAACCGTTGTGATGGATACATCAGATTATAATGATAAAATAAAACAACTTTTGTCGGACGAGAGCACGTACAAAAAGGTTAAAACGGATCCAACTACCACCGTTTTAAATAATACTAAAAAGCTAATTAAGGAACACTCCGACACATTAAATCTTGATGTTAAAAATCTTATTCCATCATGTGCAAAACCACCTAAGTTGTATGGACTTCCGAAAATACACAAGACTAACGCTCCGCTACGTCCAATTGTGAGTCAAATCGACTCACCGACTTACAAATTGGCTAAACTAGTAGCAAAAGTACTCTCACCACTCAGAGGATTAACAAGAGCGTTCACAAAGGACTCTTACCATTTTGTCAATGAAGTTAAACACCTAAAACTCATGGACAATGAAACAATGGTTAGTTTCGATGTACAGTCTTTATTTACCAGCCTACCAGTGGAAGACTGTATTGAAATAATATCTAGGAAGCTACTAGATCACAACATGTCAATAGAATACATTGAACTTTTAAAACACTGCCTAACATCCGGCTATCTACTGTGGAATGGTGAATTCTACAGGCAAGTGGATGGAGTGGCCATGGGTTCGCCAGTCTCCCCCGTCGTAGCCGACATCTTCATGGAGGACTTCGAGGAGACTGCTCTGAACACATCACCCGTGACCCCTCGTTTCTACAAGCGGTATGTAGATGACACTTTTACAATATTACCTTCTGATAAAATAAATGTATTCTTAGAACACCTTAATTCTATAAATCCTAAAATTCAATTTACAATGGAATTAGAATCGGACAAAACCTTAGCTTTCCTAGATGTATTAGTTAAACGTAACCCAGACAACACCTTGAGTCATACTGTGTATAGAAAGAAGACCCATACTGATAGGTACCTGAACGGTGAATCTCACCACCATCCTTCACAGTTAGCTACCGTGGGAAAATCTCTGTTTCAGAGAGCGCGCGGGATCTGTGACGAGCAACACCTGGCCGGAGAACTGCAACATGTCAAGCAAGTTCTGCGTGACAACAAGCTGCAAGTGCCGCGCCTGCGTCACAGTGACCGAGTGAAACCAGCCACAGTCGAGCGCGTCCCTGCAGTCTTGCCATACATGAAAGGAGTCACTGACAAGATTGGCTACATTCTAAAGCGAGCTTCAATTAAAACTTACTTCAAGCCGCCAAAGAAAATTAGTCAGTTCTTACCACCTGTCAAGTGCCACATCCCTCTACAAGATGCAGGAGTCTACAAGCTTGATTGTGATTGTGGGCTCTCTTACATTGGACAAACAAAGCGATCCATTAGAACCCGGGTCAAAGAACACATAGCTGATGTGAAGCACCGTCGCAATACAACATCTGCTGTCTGCAAACATAGCCAGGACCGCCCAAGCCATTATATTCGTTTCGATAGACCTCAAATCCTGGCGAAAGAAAACCGATATCGCCCTAGAATGATTCGAGAAGCCATAGAAATTAAAAAACATCCAAATTTCAATAGGGAAGATGGCTGGGTACTACCATCGTCATGGGATCCTGTTATTAATATAATAAAATCAAATAATAAATATAAACATAACAGACAGGCAGATGTAGTAAGTTCAAACTGTGTAGATCAAAATGACAGCTTATCAGATTAATATTTTTCATTTGTAAAAGTATATTTTAATAGTGTTGCTTAGTAAGTTGTTTTTAAATAATAGCAAACTAAATTAAAATGATTATCCGTAATTAATTTTAACTTTTTAAATTACACATAGAACAATTATATGGCTTTAATAATTAATACTATATTTTTATATTTTTATTTATGGTTATAAATATAATAATGGCAACACTAAATATAGATTACTAATTAATATTTTTAAAATTGTAATAATTATAAAAATAATAACAAAAATTAAATAAATAATTTTCCATATTCAATTATAATTAAAATTATAAAAAATGTTTAAAGTTAAAAATATTGTAATGTAATTGGTGCAATTTTCATTTTGTTAATTGTGGGTAGGCTGTCTGTAACAACTATATCTTTAAGACATGTAACACCTCAGTCTCTCCCGTGACCATGGATGCTGTAAAGCATTCGAAACGTCGGGAACCAAAAATCAAAATAAATCCGCGAAATAATCCGAAAAGATAGTTTTATTTAATAAGTCATTTAGTTCTAATAAACGCATTTCTCCAGACAATAATAGTTGTGTTTTATGTAATGGTAATCATCTACTTTATACGTGCTATAAATTTTTAAATTTGTCTATTAAAGATAGGCTAAAATTCGTTGAAGATAACAAACTATGCAGTAACTGTTTACGTTGTTCAGGTCATTCTGCAACGGAATGTATGTTCGGACCGTGTAAGCAATGTCGGAACAAACATAATACGTTATTACATGTTAATAATAATTTAAATAAATTCGAATATACGCAAAGCGTGCGATCAGCTGATTTCGGCGAGACTCGTGAAGCGGCCGGCCCGTCGACGGCGCTTCACAGTTTATCTACTAGCCACGCGCTGCCGCGAAACGCATTACAACCGGTTTTGCTATGCACTGCGTTGGTAGATATAATAGATCGGAATAATCAAATATTTACTGCTCGCGCGCTATTGGATAACGGCAGTCAACATAGTTTTATTTCAGAAAAATTATTTAAACGTTTTAATACGAAACCTATACAGTCCACTATACGTATATCGGGTGTTGGTATGTCTACAATGCAATCGAATAAATCGTGCGAAATAATTATACGTTCTAAGATAAACGATTATAGTACAAAGGTGCGGTGCTACATTTTGCAGCACATTACGTCTAGTTTGCCTACGACAAACATTGATAATAAATTTATACGTATTCCTAATAATATTCGTCTTGCGGATCCATCATTTAATATTTCCTCGGCTATCGATTTACTAATCGGTGCTGATTTATTCTGGGAATTATTATTAAACGATAATAGAATTCGATTAGAAAGGGGACCTTACCTCCAAAATTCTAAATTAGGATGGTTATTGTGTGGGCCGCTTTATACGTCGCAATTAAAAGACAGTGAAACCGATCACGTTTATTGTAATTTTACTCAAGCTTTAGACGACAATTTAAAACGTTTCTGGGAGTTAGAAAACGTATCTCAGTCCTGTAATATTCTTACTGCTGATGAGCGTATATGCGAGGATCTATTTAAAAATACGACTAAACGAGACATCGATGGTAGGTTCACAGTACGCGTTCCTTTGAAACAATCACCATATGTTTTAGGTGATTCGTATAATTTAGCAAAAAATAGGTTTTTTGCATTAGAACGTAAACTTGAGCGCACACCGGAATATAAATGTCTGTATCGTGACTTTATAAACGAATATGAGTCGTTAGGCCATATGACACGTGTGAATAAGGTTGAATATCCTAACTTTTTCTTGCCGCATCACGGTGTTTTTAAAGAGCACAGTTCAACCACTAAACTTCGTGTGGTCTTCGACGCAAGTGCTACAACTACTTCTTCTAAGTCACTTAACGACATTCAGTACCCGGGACCTGCTCTTCAAAATGACATTTTTTCTATACTTTTACGATTTAGGCGTTATAAATACGTAGTCTGTGCGGACGTAGAAAAAATGTTTCGTCAAGTCCTTGTTCAGCAGGATCAAAGGTCACTGCAGTATATCGTTTGGCGTGACAATCCTACAGATCCGTTAGGTATATATCAACTTAACACCGTAACTTATGGTACGGCGTCAGCGCCGTATTTAAGTATGCGTTGTATACGTCAGCTCGCATACGATTGTGATGACGCCGTCACAACTCGGGTAATAATCGAAGATTTATTCGTTGACGATTTGGTTACTGGCAGTGATGATCGTCATGAGCTAATATCCATCTGTGAAAAGGTTTCAGCAGTTTTACGTTCGGGATGTTTTGTACTACGTAAATGGATATTTAACTCGGAACTCGCTCATACTCAAGCAACACAGCAGTTTAACGGTGAACACACGCAAAATAAAACCTTAGGTATTGGTTGGTATAGCGAGAGTGACTACCTACATTACACTACACAAATAGACGAGTATGACGATATACCGAGGTTGACTAAACGAGTAATGTTATCAATAATATCACAGATCTACGATCCGTTGGGTTTATTATCGCCCACCATTATTATATCTAAAATTTTACTTCAAAAATTATGGCTGAGTAAGCTCGATTGGGATACGCCAGTACCTCGCGATATCGAACTTATTTGGAATAAATTTATGTTAGTTTTAAAACGATTAAATGAATTAAAAATTCCTCGTTACGTAATGAGCGGCTACACGCAATACAAAGAACTTCACATATTTACCGACGCGTCACAGAGTACATACGGCGCTTGTGCCTATGTACGTACCTATAACCATGATTCCGAAATCGTCGTAAAATTATTATGCGCAAAAAGTAAAGTTGCCCCCTTAAAGTCCATATCTATCCCGAGGTTAGAACTTTGTGGTGCTTTAATAGGCGCAAGGCTTTATAAAAAAATAATCGACGTTATTCGTTTAACATTCTCAAAGGTCATCTTTTGGACTGACTCGACCATCGTCATCGGTTGGGTTAAAATGTCGCCACATCTCTTAAAGCCGTTCGTACAAAATCGCGTAACCGAGTTAAATGAGCTGACAGGTGATTCCGAGTGGTTACATGTATCGAGCGAAAATAACCCAGCTGATATATTGTCTAGAGGATTAGCCTTTGATTCGTTGATTAACTGTAAGCTTTGGTGGAACGGTCCGTCTTACTTGCAATGTCATAATAATTTTGATTCGTTAAATAATAATAATATAATTAATTTAGAAAATTTGCCTGACTTAAAATCTAATGTAGTACATAATTTTAGCAGTTTCGATAACTTAGATTTTATTCAATTTAATAAATACTCGTCTTTCATAAAACTTAAACGCGTATGGGCCTACGTTCTTCGATTCATAAACAACGTACGAGGGAGTGGGGCTAATAGACGCAAAACAAAGCAAACCGGTTTGTTATCGGTGTCTGAACTAGAAAAAGCGCAGTATACATTGATTCGTTTTGCACAAAGCAATCCTTTCCGACTATTTATGATAATTTGCTGAATGAAGGAAGTTACACAGGTAATAATAAAGAATTAAATCGTGTATCTGGATTAAACGTGTTTTTAGACGATAAAAAATTAATTCGAGTTGGTGGTCGACTTCGAAACGCGTCTAATTTCGATTTTAATAAAAAGCATCCGTTTTTAATGTGCAGTCGACACTGGATGTCTAATTTATTAGTGAATCATGAACACAAGAGGCTACTTCATGCAGGACCTCAACTTATTTTATATACCCTGCGCGAGACCTGGTGGATATTAAGTGCCAGAGGTCTTGTGAGAAAAATCGTGCGTCAATATGTTACATGTTCTCGTTTTAATAATAAGATACCTAAACCTATAATGGGAAATTTACCATCTGAACGTCTGGATGCGGGATTTCCGTTTGAGCGGACCGGCGTTGATTATGCTGGACCTATTATGATTATGAACCGTAAAGGAAGAGGTGCTAGGCAAATTAAATCGTATATTTGTTTATTTGTCTGTTTCATAACTAAGGCTGTACATATCGAACTAGTCACGAGCCTTTCGACGGACGACTATATTTTAGCTTTAAAACGTTTCATTGGTAGACGCGGAAAACCAGTAGCTCTTTATTCTGACAACGGTAGAAATTTTGTTGGTGCTGAAAAAGAAATTCGAAATTTAATTCATAACAATTCACAACAAATAAACGATTACGCCTCATGTGAGGGTATTGATTTTAATTTTATTCCGCCGTATGCGCCGCATTTTGGAGGTCTGTGGGAGAGTGGTGTAAGGTTTTGTAAACATCATCTTAAACGTATTGTTGGTAACGCCAAATTAACATACGAAGAAATGAATACGGTTTTAATTCAAATCGAATCCGTTTTAAACTCTCGTCCACTGTCCCCCTTATCCAACGATCCTAACGACTTCACTCCCCTCACTCCTGGTCACTTCCTCACAGGCCGACCGTTAACTTCGCTGCCATGCGAGACCATTTCTGATGCTACAGGTCTGGCGATGAACCGGTACCGCCGCGTGGAGCAGCTGCGGCAGCAGTTCTGGCGGAGGTGGTCCAGAGAATACATTGGAGAACTTCAACAGAGAACTAAGTGGAAAACTCATCATGACGATATAGCCCTTGATCGTCTCGTCCTCATCAAAGATGAAAATTTACCACCGCTTAAATGGCGTCTGGGACGCATAACTCGCATATACCCGGGGACTGATGGTGTCACACGTGTTGCCGACATCCGTACCGCAACCGGAACGACGAGGAGGGCGTTTCCGAAAATTTGCCCTTTGCCCCTGCAGCCATCCAACGACGAAGCCTGATGTTGGAAGCCGGTGTTTCCAAGGCGGGGGGTATGTCGCGGCTAACCCCATCTAACTTGTACATAAGGCAACTGCCTATGGAACTTGAAGTAGTTGCCACCGTTGGCCGTTGTGTGGCGCTACGGTGATTTTTCCCTGTGTCTATTTTTTGTGTGTAACATCATAGACAAGTCATAGACATTAATTAGATAGTGACTAGTAGAAATTCAAATCTTTTCATTCTCTTTGTTAACTCGTAACGCTCCGAACATATTTTATATACGAACCATTGTAAAACACGAAATTAAACGTAATTCGAAATAGTCTACGTTTTATTTGAAGACCGCCGTAGTTTTGGCTGATCGTTGCTGCACCAATAACAATTATATATAATAATTGGATTTTCATGTTTTTTAAAAAAAAGCAAGTTTATATCTCAATGCAATTAGCTGTATAAATATGAAAAAAAAAGTTTTGAAGTTTTTTTAGCTAAAAAGTAATAATTGAGATTGCAAATAACCTGTTTTATTTTTTATTTTAACTTTTTGGAGGTATTTGCATTTTTGATTTATAGCGATGATGATATCAATTTTTGTACGGAAATAAATTTATACCGACTTTTTTTTAATAAAAAAATCATATATTTAGTTATCAGATAACTCAATTTATTTCTTAAATAAATTATTGCGGAAAGCAAAAAGCCTTAAAGCGAAATTTTCTACTCTTTATTTTCAATTTCAATAGCTAAATGTTAGCTAAAGAATTTTACTATTGAAGTTCTCGTTATACGAAACGAAAACATAAATATAATATTGTTAGTCTACATTTAAATTTAATATTCAAGTAAATAGTTTACGATTCATATAGTTCTAGGTCTTATGGCGATATTTTACCGTCAATATCAAAATTCTTCCTTTAGTATGTCTGACTAAAGCAAGTCCTTTCAGCTTTCTTACGTTGAATGCCTTTCTCATGGATGCCAGGGAACGCTTTGGTGCCTATCCCAGCAATGCAAATGGAGGAGACGATTGCCTCTCGCCGCTCTTATTCAAGACTTTAATAAAGCCAAGTCCTAAGACGGTGAAAAATTCATTCAATTAGATATTTATTTCATCGTACTTTGCAAGCCTTAATTAAAATGAGATCTATACGTGCTTAAATTAATGGTCGTGATATTTATTTTAATGTTGGTATCATTTGAAATATTTTTAGTATAAAATTGTGAAAATAAAATCTTATGTGTTGGGTTTGTTACAACACTCATAACTCATGAAATTCTAAATCGATTTTCATGGTTTTTGATTTGTTGGATTTGTCTTCTCCCCGAATAGCAGAATAACTTAAAACATTAGAATAATTCACGAAAAAAAAATTATATGGCTAACACTAGCTAATAACTATTTATATCTATATAACGTACCTAGGGACAAACCCGATCGAAGTGAGGGTGAGCCGCTTGTTATAATAATTTTTTTTTAAAGATAAACAGGTAATATAAGTTATATATTAAAGCAACGAATATAATTTATGCAGGCATGCCAGTAAAGGAGTATACTATAGGAAACGTCAAGCGATTTATTTTCAACTATTATCATTCAAATTTGCAAATTCCAATCCTTATTTGAATTTCATCAAAAGAAATTCTATTTAAATACGATTTCATTTACTTGACTTCTAATCCCAAGATTTAGTAGGAGAGAATTGCGTGGGATTCCTCCGGACTCCCGCCGTGCTTTGTCCGCAGTGCAAATCAATTAGACAGGTACCTACTAGTTCCTCAGAGCAGGGTAAATAATATTAATTTAACAGAAGTGTTGCATGTGTAGATAAATCTTTTTTATATCTCTAAAAAAAAAAATCACTACAGATTTTTTTAAATAAAACGTCAGTTATGGTTAACGATGATGATCGATTCACAAAAAAACACATAAAAATTGTAAACGATGAAATAATTATTTTTTCAGCTTAAATACTATTTAAATTAAATGTAATTTTATTTTAGTTTGTATAATTTAGTATGGTACGGCAGTGACTCATTTACATTTTTGCTTTTAGTTCATAATCTGTTATAAAATAAACATAGTTTAGCATAGGTATAAAAACTTTATTTTTTATGTATTTATATTTGAATCACAGCGAACACAAGAAGTCGTTAATTTAGAGATGTACTTGCTTATTCGTACAGCAAAATTGACGCTCCATAAAGCACTCAATTACAAATTTAGGCTAAATTTGTATATTAATCTAGAATAATCGTTAGTTAACAAAGTTTTATTCAAATGTAATGTTCTCCTACCGATTCTTCTCTTCATGTGCGCAGGAGATATTATAGTACACAAGTGTATGTGCAGACACAAGTGCACTCTCTATTCCTGTCACTCTCATACTCCGGTGGGACGACTACTCGACACGGCCAGTGAGAGTTAAGGCGTAGGACCGACGGCTTTACGTGCCCTCCGAGGCGAGGGGTGGAACACCACCAATTTCCCAACCCCGGCCTATTACTGAGTCTTACTAAACAGAAGTACTCAATAACTAAACTTGGTCCGACCAGGGACTTGAACCCAGAACCTCTGGATGTGCATCTGTACATACTAGCCACTATACCACCAACGCTGTCAAATATACATATATTAGGTAAGTCTATGCTATTTTTAGATGTAGTACGTAGTCTAAGGTTAGTTCCCTTCAGAAAGTGATTACACGAATATCTCTTTACGCTTTCTTCGGGAGAAACTTTTTCTTCTACGAATTCGTGTGTATTATTTTTATCAGCCTTTTGGCTCAGACTTTAATGATACAGCTCGTCTTTTAAAATCTTTTGCTTTTTTCGTACACTCATTTTGTTACGACGAGTAAAAACATATCAACTTGTTTTTTTTTAATTCTTAAAATCATATTTAAATTGAAACTTACTAGTATATAACTTGTATTTCATCTATACATAATATTATGTATAATTAAAATTGTAACTAAGCCGAATCTGTACATTAAATATTTTTTCGAAAATCTTATTGAATTATAGGCCGAATTTATATATTATGATGAAATTTGGTATGGTAATAGCTTGTTATCCGGGTCAACATATAGGATACTTTTTACGGCGGGAAAATGTCTTATTCCTACGGGAAAACACGTTATAATACAACACAAAAAGCTAATTATGATCAAAATTACTTGAAACTTGGTATTATTACTTTTCAATAAAATTAAATAAATACGTGTTTTAGCTTTTTTCAAAATTCATCCTATATGGGGGTAAAATAGGGGATGAAAGTTTGTATGAAACCTACCTTTCTAGAGGTTTAGTTGTAGTTTTAGCGCGAGCGAAGCCGCGGGTTCTTGTAGTATACTAATAAAGTCTTATAGAAAATGAAATATGCAAGAAGGAAGACAATAAATGTTGGAATACAATATACGTCCAGTAAATAAAATGGAATTTACGGCTGCAATTTACTTTTATAATATAACTTAGGCAATCTTTACATGTTATATTATTTGAAAGTTTATGAGAGAGTAAGACTGTTTGTTACTTCCTCACTCTGTAATGGCTATATCTTAGACACATGTATGTATGTATGTATTTATCATTTTTTTAACGTCCCACTGCTGGAAGTTTGCCTCCCTTCAGTACGAGGGGAATCAGGCCATAGACCACCACGCTGGCCAAGTGCGGGTTGGCGATCATCTTGGACATATATTATGTAAACTTATCGTGATAAGTAGGTATGTCGGTAGTAGATACTTTTTATCGCCTATCACACGAGTGGAGTTATATGCAAAAATTAATATTTAAATTTTTTGTACTAAATCATCTTGAGGTTTGGAAAAATGAACGTGGAAGATGATGTGAATAATTTTATCAGTAATATTGTTAGTATAGTGCATAATTTGCTAGATTTTAAAGGATATTTATTGATTACAATGAACAGATTAATAGATAGAGACAGTTTCTAGGATTTTTTAGCAGTAAGGCAAAATGGAACCCTTATAATTTCGTTATGTTTGTCTGTCCGTATATCACTTACTTTATTTCTTTTTCTTCATCTTTACTTTATTTCACACAAAAAATATTGGAGGCTTTCAGTTAAAATCTACCAAAGGTTAGGGCCTATGCAAAGCAAATCTAATGTATTTCGATACGTAAAATACATATTTATTATTTACCTATTAGATATTCATATCTTAAAATATTGTCCGTTGGCACCGACTTCGAAAATATCTGATTAGGTATATATTCTAAATGAAAACCCCCGTTTAGTTATTTTTTATATTTTAGTGTCTGGAAGTCAGCTTTTTTTTTGGATTTTATTTTTCCATTTTTAGTGTAGACGCAATAAGCGGATAATTTGTAAGAAGAAAGTTTTTTAATAACATATTCGATTAAACAATTTATTTAAAAAAATAATTTATTGTTGATTTACCTATTTAAAAAACCGCTCCACTGATTTCGATAAAATTTATATGGGACCACCTGGGAAGTATATTATTATATACCGTTTGAAACAAATATATATATATATATATATATATATATATATATATATATATATATATATATATATCCAAATCGGTCCAGGCGTATTCGAGGAATCGGTGAACACACATAAAAAAGAAAGATTCCGACGAATTGAAAACCTCATTCTTTTTAGAAGTTGTAGGGAGGGAAGAGTGCTTAGGGAGGGCAATGTGCGTAGTTCGGGTAATGTGCGTAGTAGGGCGTGAATATGCATTACAAACTTATTGCTTGATTGCTGATTTCTCAAAAATCAGTAAAATTACTAAAATGTGATTTACGAGAGCATCATTTCGTTTTTCTTCTTAGAATATTTGTTAAAACCATAATATTCCTTTTTAGGATCTGTTTATTACCTTCTGTTAGTTTTATACAAAGTTTAATAACAAATCGATACATACATACATATAATGAATACCATCTATTGACATTTTTTTGAACTTATTTTCCTTTCTTCCTAAATGATACCCTGTAACAAAGTAAAGCATTCTTCAAGCGTCTGCTTTAATAATGTTAGAGAGAAAGAAGTGTTAGAGATAGAGAGTGAGAATATCTTATTCTCACTTGCATACGTATATTTGCATATGTATATGGGATACTCGGATATGTACGTACGATATTTCTTTAACAAATCCTATACAAAATAAATTACTTCCAGACGTCATAAATCATAAATTGTATTAAAACATTCCACTTATACGAAAATATTATACGATATGCCTCGCCATGTAATCTCCTTAGACGGCGATTTCATCAGGTTCAATTCGGAATAATTTATCAAATTGCATTGAGAAATGCACATGCCTGGCTCAGCTGCAAGTCGCAAGGCAATTTTTTATTCCCTCATTCCGCCAACTCCTCAGGGAATTGTTGGGGAGACATACAGATATCAATCTAAATACGAGCTGTGGCTTCGAATGTTAAATTAGATTTTTGATAAGAATAGTTACTTTGGGTAGCGTAGCCTTATCGTTGTGTGATTTTTATATTTATACTAGCGACTCATCCTCGCTTCGGGTTCGTCCCTGGCTTGCTTCGAAATAGAAACTTTTCATCCCCGTTTCCACCCTCTTAAGGGGTGATTTCCGGGATAAAAAGTATCCTATGTCCTTTTCAGGGTCTCAAACTATTTTGTTACCAAATTTCATCTAAATCGATTCAGTAGATCCAGAGATAACCCCCTACAACGTCACAAACTCACAAACTTTACTTCTTTATAATATTATAAGTAATAAGTATAAGTATAGATAATCGCTAATATATCGAATCTTTAGATTCGCAATCACGAAATCACAATCACATACCTAATATTAAGTAAAGAGAGATAGAGCAGAGTAAAGATAGAAAGAGAGTGATTGTAAATCAGAGCGTACGGTAGGTAGGCCTTGCAGTTATTTGGCATACCAGCAAGCACATCAAGTTGTTCCTATGAGTTTTTTTTAAAAGCTTCCTAGAGATGCGGGACATTTGTAAATAAAAAGGTTTTGAATGTGTATTGAGTGTAATCATATGTAGCAAAACCAAGCGGTTAGAAACACCGTCATATGTCAATAATATCCTTATAAAGGCTTATTTTGTTTAA